ATTATAGGTTATACTTATAAGGGATCTCTAATCTTCTAACGTTAACGATCTATCTCTTAACCGTACTATTACTAATAGGCCTTACTATAGGTTAGGTCCTTTTAAGGGTATCGAGGAACGATACTAGATAGAGCGCTTAATTAATCTATACTAAGGTATTAGTTAATTAATAGGTATTATTAAGTTATAATCAAGTAAGAAGTTATACTAGTAATCTAAAGATAGATATAAGTAATAATATAGGATTAAAGATAAAGAACTAAACTAGATACTAGAAATAAGTGTCCTTATATATCCCTAAGTTCTCCTACTCCTTAGTATACTCCTAGAGTATATTATAGAGTCGCCGTATACTCCTACATATACTCCTAGAGTCGACGCGGGAGTCACGGTCACGTGATCCTACTTATCTAGGGGGCCGCCCCCCGGATGATAAACAAGGAAGGCGGTGTAGACTAGCACAATAGGTCGATTGGATCTCGACGGCCCGTCCGTGCAACATATAGGGTTGCTAACGATTAGCAACTAGCATGTCTATAATAGTAGGCTGTTAGCGTATATATGGTCTCTATCGCGTTCTCTCGTTAACCCAAAACTTCGCTCGCTACCCTATAGATGCTATTAGCTAATGATTGGATATCGCGGGTGCTAAGTGCGACCTTAATTCCTTCCGTTTGTAATAAGTTCAATATCCGCCTTGCTCTAGTAATGCCCGCTCTCGCCTCTATTAGCTTATTATATAGTTTCTTATTATACGACTAAAGAATTTATATATCGTGGCGGAGTTTATTAGCCTTAGCCCGGACCGTATGAATTTCGTTAAGATAGTTATTCAGTCGGGCACGAGTGCGTTCCAACTCGATTTCTATACTACTATTAACAGCCTTAAGCTTAGAAATCTCTACTATAAAAGAACTATCTATTCCGTCACTAAAACTCTCCGCCTCTAGGCTCTATTAGTAATGCTATATTAATAAGGATGTCTAGTAATGCTTACCTCCCTTAGAATATAGCTCGTATTTAACTACGAGTGTCCTAACGCGTGCGGGGAAATAGCCTCGATTAAATAGCCGATCTTATTACAAATTTTCCGGTAAAGATAAATCTTACCGCTACTTAAGCTAGATTTAAGCACACTAGTATTTACGCTCGTAACGGACTAAGCGTATCTATCTTTAGGTCGCGGTTAGAGACGGACTTTTTTA